ACTCCGAGTCCACGCCATTCGCGGACTCAAGGGATGGGCTCGATTGACACCCTGACCAGTTAGTCGAAGAGCAGGGTCTGAAGACTAAAGCGCCTTCTTATATCCGTATAACCGTCTTGATACTCATGGCTAGGACTATCTATCATCCATTGCCCGGACAAGACATCCGGCTTTCAACCCTGGTGCCAATTCCTTTATGGTCCCAGCGAGAATAAACACTCATAATATTATCTTCGCAATCTGTCTGTATCTCGTCCATAGGTCCGCGTACAAGTTTCTTGATAAGGACGAAGAACCTCCCGAGCCGGATGCGGATGCAACACCCAGATAAGCTTGACCCTGCATGGAAGATGATTTGATCCTCATCGAACAGGCTCCGCATCGCGGGCCGGTCTTCGCATATAATCCTCTTGGTGAAGAAAAATAACATCCTGAACCGTAGGTAGGGTGGATTGACGGATGAAATTTTGCCTCTTCAGTGAGCTGATTGTGAAGATGGAACGAAGAGAAATGCTGCTCGGGCTGACAATAAGCAAGTGATTATGAACCATGATAGTGCTCTGTGAGTTGTTGATGAGGGAGAAGACTCTTACCTACCAAGTCAAGCTAACGTACCTTAAGTAAATAAGTAAATACAAGTTCATGAGTCCTGTCTTATTCAAGGACAAAGCATCTGGGCTTGAAAGGACGGACCTACTAGGCAAGATACCTGAGGTATGGAAACCACCATCCTTAAGATCTCAGAGGTCACTGTCGTCCATCCTCAAACATTGAGCAATTGTCTCCTTGATAGACAATGCACTCAAAGTGCTTTTCTTAAATGCTACATACGGGCATGACCACCTTACCAGGTTGGCTACTGAGTTAGTACGTGGTAGGTCAAGGCAAGGGAAGCGGTCCTTCTCAGGTAGGCATTCGACAAAATCAAGACATCATGAGCAGGACACAGTGAAGTCACTTGGTACGAAGCTACACCTCATCGATCATGCCACTCGCTCGTGAGGTGCGCGTCTTCTCGAATTTTTGAGTTGAAGAACAGGCCACACAGAATTGAACAGGAAAAAGGAATGACAGAGGCCAGGGGCTTGAAATGAAGATGTCTTCGTTATTTTTGTACTGCATTGTATTGCCGGTTCAAGTTCAAGAACGCCAAGCACCATGACTACCAAGCCACTATTAGAGAAACAATTATAGGTTGAACCTCTTGCGATCCTTCTCCATCTTGGCCTTCCACTCCCACTGTGTCGCATCATCACCCTCACTTCCAGCTCTTCCAATACCCTTGTCAACTCTCCTCAACTTGAGGGTGAAGCGGGGACCAAGCTCCTGGAGACCAGCACGGATTCCCTCCACACCCTTGACCTCCTTTCCATCAGCACCGACGATGCTCTTTTCTGTCTGTCGCTTTTCTCGGAAAACATAACGATGTCGTCGCACAAAGATATAATCTCGCTGGTTGTGGAGCGTAGTGACCTGGCGACCTTGGAATTCGGGCTTGGGGGGGAATAAGGTCATAAACAGCTTGGCTGTCAATAGACCCAGTGGTGTCTTGAAATTGTTTAGAAGCAGTTCAGGGTAGTGATTTGTTGGGTTTCCATGACCTGGGAGCTTTTTGCCTTCAATCCAATTTGTGATGGAGAAATGAAAGGTCGGGCCGGAAGGAAGATGCACAATGGTGAGACCTGTAGGTTTCTTGGAGTCCTCCTTGAGGAGAATCACAGCTGTGTGCTCTCGATTTGCGGCGTATTTGCAGATCTCTCGGAGTGAATACTTATGGCCGTATCGATGAGCCGACCGGGGGACGTAAGAGCTGTTGGGGAAGAACTCGCAGAGAACATGGGCCTGCTCGTGGAGAGTAGAGTTGATGGACGTTGTGACCAGAATCTTGGGCTCAGGAGCCGGTATGTCGGTGAAAAGAGACGGAAACTTTAGGGCCAGTGACGTTGGTGTCAAGTCAAGGTTCGTGCTTGTTGTGGATGGGGCAACACTGTTATCTCGCTGTACACGGCGTTGACGCTTCTTTTCCAGTGTAGCCTGTCGCTCTTCGTCCATCTCCTCATCCGAAGCCAGCATACTGTCAACGTCGTCATCCTCGTCCAGCTCTTCCTCAGCGCGCATAGCAGCCTCATGAGCCGCCTGTTCTGCTGCTTCAGCCTCTTCAATGCGGCGGCGCTTCAGCTTCTCGAGGTCCACCTGCACACCAAGACTGTCATCGTCTATATCATCCCATACTCGCTTCGAGTCGATCGTTGCAGGTTTGCGCTTAGCTAGACGGGCTGCCTTGAGCTCGGGGTCCTTTGCTTCTTCCCTACGGCGACGGTGTCGTTCCTCATGTCTCTCCTTGTTCTGGTGCTTCTTATACTGGACGAAGAGCTCCTTTCGTTTGAGCTTATTGGAAGACTTGAGCGCCTGAACAGGCGGCTTTGTGAAACCCATTTGCGGCGATTGGATGGAGTAGATCGAGTTAAGTAGCAGACACGGTAGAAAGAAACACTAGGTAGGTAGGTACGGCTGGGAAATAATTTGTTAGAGGGGCATTTCTGCCCGGCAGAAAAGTCCAACTTTTTGGCGGTGAGTGATCATCTTGTCCAATCAGTAGATGCGATTTCCCTTGGGCCCCACAAGACCTTGTCGACTTTCGCAGAAATCGACAAGACAGACAACGACAAAACCTTCAAGAGGCGTCTTTATCTCGTGCCATAAACTGGAATTAAGACAGAAAAATGGCACAAAACGGCACAAAACGAAGAAAGATCGCTCATGATTCTGCCAATCATGAGACCCAAGATCAGAATGACTCAAGAAGCGCTCAGAAGTCTTTCTTTAAGAACGCTTCAAATTGGAGTCTCGAACAAGACTATGAGACGCGCCCACGCAAAGGCAAGAAGCAAAAAGAGAGCAACAGACTCCCCATCAAGACAGCCGATGGTCGAATTGAGCAAGCCGAGGCGCAAGACGATGAGACGGCGTCAATTGAGAGCGACACTGAATGGCTAGAAGGCCGCGAGGATGCAGCGGAGGAGGAGCCTGAGGAGGAGGAAGAGGAGGAAGAAAAGGAACCCGAGATCCCAGAGCCTCAACAGATTCTCGCAGCACAGGAAGAGCTAGCAAAGATTGCTATGCAAATGAACGAGAACCCAGAGGAACACGTCGGCGCATTCAAGGCTCTCGCCAAGATCGGACAATCTAAGATTATTGCCATCCAGATGCTTGCCCTCATGACCCAAATGTCTGTCTATAAGGATGTTATTCCTGGATACCGTATACGTCCCCAGACTGAAAACGGACCCAGGGAAAAGCTATCCAAGGAAGTGCGTACACTGCGACAGTATGAACAAGCTCTTGTTTCTGGATATCAGAACTACATCAAGGAGCTTGCTCGATGCTCCAAGCTTGAAGTCAGGGCTGCAAAGGGCGGGCAGAGTATGGCTACCATCGCTATCACTTGTGCTTGCACTCTTGTTACGTCTGTTTCACACTTCAACTTCCACATAGATTTGCTCAAAATTCTTGTTTCGAAGCTTAGCCGGCGCAAGATCAATCAGGATGGCGTCAAGTGTTTAGAGGCTCTTCAGACGCTTTTCAAGGAGGACGAAGAAGGGCGACCGACAAACGATGCGGTGGCTTTACTTTCCAAGATGATGAAGGCTCGCGAGTTCCAGGTCGATGAGAGTGTTGTGAACCTCTTCCTAAGCCTGCGCCTCCTCTCCGAATTCTCGGGTAAGGCATCCAGAGACCATGTCGAGAATGATGATGCACCCCTCAAGAGGAAAAAGAAGGAATTCAGAACCAAACGACATCGCAAGGCACTCAAGGAACAGAAGGCCTTGGATAAGGACATGGCCAACGCCGATGCATCAGTCAGTCACGAGGAGCGGGATCGCATGCAGTCCGAGACGCTTAAGCTTGTGTTTGCAACCTACTTCCGCATTCTCAAGCTACGCACGCCTCATCTCATGGGTGCCGTTCTTGAAGGTCTTGCCAAGTACGCCCATCTCATTAACCAAGATTTCTTTGGTGACTTGTTGGAAGCACTCAAGGATCTTATCCGACACAGTGAAGAAGACGCCACTGAGGGTCTCGGTGATGAGGAGGGTGGTGAGGGTGAAGAAGACGATGATGATGTCCCCATTCGCAACTTAACGCGTGAGGCTCTTCTGTGTACTGTTACAGCATATGCTCTGCTCGAAGGCCAAGACGCTCACAACTCGCGTAACGATCTTCATCTTGACCTCTCCTTCTTCACAACACATCTCTTCAAGTCCCTTCTCCCACTCTCAACAAACCCCGATGTCGAGCTGACACGCCCCACCAACACAAACAACGCAACCACCAAGATCAATGTCCAGACCACAACAGTTCTTCTCCTCCGAGCACTGACGGGTATTCTTCTCCCACCCTGGAACATCCGATCCGTGCCACCTATGCGACTAGCCGCCTTTTCCAAGCAGCTCATGACAACAGCGCTTCAGCTCCCTGACAAGTCGTGCCAGGCTGTTTTGGTTCTTCTCAGCGATGTAGCGCACACACACTCGAAGAAGGTCCGTAGTCTATGGAATACTGAGGAGCGCAAGGGAGATGGTCGATACAATCCCGTGAGCGATAGTGTTGAAGGTAGCAACCCGTTTACAGCAACGGTGTGGGAGGGCGAACTGTTGAGGAAGCATTACTCACCTAAAGTCAGAGAGGGTGTCAAGATACTAGAGAAGGGCATGTCCGAGTAGGTGGTTAATGAGTGAATACATCAGCACTGTGCACTTAATATTGAATTCGATTCCCACCTATTTAAGAATCATGAGTACTTCACGGATTGATGACCAATATATGTTTTACACTCATGTGTGTTTTTTTCTACGGTCTTCTGGTATCAAAAACCAACTATAGGCTTGATTTACATGGCTACATAGAATTAGACGCTCTAGTATCAGTTGAGAAGCGTCGGTTCTTGTGCCCTTCGAGAACCCTATCCGAAACCCGTGCACACCATATCCTTGCCTCCCTTACTTAGCCCACATGGATGCACCAAGGCCCTTAGTGGGCTTTCTCGGGGCACGAGCTACCTCCCCATTGTCGCCAGCAGTGCGCAAGGGCAGCTCGGTCGAGAAGATGTCATTGATAGGTGACCTGGACATGATTTGACTGGTGGCAGGGCCGGTGATCCGGAAGCCATTGGCATAAGTGGCAACAGGCGTCGCGGTGACCATGAATTGGGCATCAGGAGCAAGTGTCTGTGTCGAGACATGTTGCGAGTCCTCATTACACCCCAACTCAATTGGCGATGGAGTCGCATGCTGGGCTGGCATGGAAGTGACTGGCGGCGGGTGCAATCTGGGGACAAAGCCAGGTGCCTGAGGGCGAAGCGCTTGAGGCTCTTCTGGGCCTTGAGATTCCTTGATGGCAACGGGATCTTTGGCCTGCATAGATTCGGATCTGGCCTCGGTAGGAGCTTGAGTGGAGTCAAGCTTAGTATGCTCCGAAGAAGTTTGCAGATCAGCGAGATCATCATAGGTATGGCCAGACATCCAGCGTTGATGATCGACAGAGGCAATTCCAGGTACCTCCTTTGCAGTCCCAGACTTAAGCTCAACTTGACCTCCCTCTAAGTCAATAAGATCTTCCACCTGTGCAGGTTCGGCAGCGGTCACAGTTGGAGCTTGAATAGAGTCGAGCTTAGCCTGCTTGGGTGAAGTTTGCGGAGCATCGGGACGAAGAACAGTAGACTCAGTCATCTCAGCCTGAGATCCAGATACAGAGGTAGTCTTATGAGCAATGAAACTGGCAGCCGATTTGTATGTGGCAGCAATGCCCGCTTTCTGGCTGTTGTTGTGACGCTTGACTATGCAGTTAGGGGGAAGAACCCCCACACTTGCATTTGCCTTCAGTTCCAGAAGTTTGTCGGGCGTGTACTTCAAAGGTTCGGCGTTCTTGGAGTCATGTGTAGCTACCTTCTTCGTTTGACAATCAGAAACGCCAAAGTCCGATTCATCGTCCGATTTTTGGTTTTGGAATAGCTCCAAAAGACTCTTCTTTTTCGTCTCTTTACCGGGAGGGTTGACAGTCTTAACTGGCATCTTTGAGTGACCAGTTTCTGTTCCTGCAGTCGAAGCTTTGATAGAAGCTTGGCCTGAATCAGTGACAAAGTCACAGAGGAGATCAAGACTGCTGACTCTTCCAGGGGCCTTAGAAACTGTGTGAAGCTTGATAGATGTGGCATGAGCCCCAGCTTTCTCGCTCTGCCCCTGAATGGAGTCGAGATCTTCCTTGGCAGCCTCCGGAATCACGGCTAAAGTAGGCGGAAGCTTGACCATAGGCTTCTCATTTTCTTTTTGAGTGGGACTGGGTGACACAGCCTGTACCTTAGGAACAGTGGATGGAGTGGATGGAACCTCGGCCTTGCCCTTATGGTCTTGACCCTGGACAAGATTGGAAGACAGCTTCGGAGTTACATCTCTTCGACCAAGAAAATCAGAAACTGACGAGCCCAGAATAGCTCCGGGTTTACGATCAAGAGGGTTAGGGAGAAGGGTCGACTGATAGCACCGAGCTGTTGTTGACGGAGTAGTAGAACCGCTTGAGGGCACAGGTGCTGGGCGCGCAGCTTGCATCGATGGGCCTTGAAACAATATGTTAGTCCACCTGTTAACGAATCGGTTTGTTGCAATTGGTGTGAAGATTCTCCAACTCAGGATTTGGGCGTTCCCGAGACTAAGTTGGATGAGGGTCAAAGTCTTAAATACTGACCTGCTCGTTTCTTGGGGATGTTGCTTTGACCCTTGGCCCCGGTATTGGATTTGAACAACATTTGCAGTGCCTTAGCATCGGATACCTTGCTAGGGTCTTGATACCCTCTGTCGCCCATGGTTGCTGTGTCCGGCGTAGCAACAAGACTCTAGAGGTGTGCGTGGGGGGCGGTTTAGAGGCCACTACAACGAGAGAGTGTCAGCAAATAAGAGGTAATAGAAATAAGGCAATCATTTGTATTATAAGCCTTTGTTAGTACGACTCACGTTGGTATTGAGATTGCAGACGTAATCAGTAACAACTGTGTGGCGGAGATTTGGGTGTAGCTATACTGGACACGCGACAGTTCTGAACTATTCACTATTAACCCACCGAAGCATAGCATTGACATGCATGTATCATGAAGCATACGGATGCTAGACGACAGTGATGTGATCCCTGGAATACTCGGAGGGAAAAGCGACTTACCTTTGATCTGGAGAAGGGACGCGCTGAGCTTCTGCTGGCTGAGGCCAACAGAGGGGGGGAAAGAAGGAAGGAAGGAAAACAAAAGGCAAGACCTCTTGATCAGTACCTCATTTGATAGTCTATATCGTGGTTTATGAATTCATACTGGGGGGAAGGGAAAAAGAAAATCAAAACAAAAGTTCTGGTGCGTGGTGGAGGAGGAGGAGGAAAGAAGAGCGCGATGGGTGGGGGAGGGAGGGAGAAAGCGATAGAAGTACCTAGCCCAGCAACAGCCACAAGTGGGTGGCTAGGTATGAGCAGAGGGATTTGGTGAATGAAGGAAACAGTTCCCTATTAGGATGATTTTAGTTGGAAGGATTGCTTATAGGTAGCATTACAGAGGAGTGGTAGTTGAGTGAAGTCGCTGTAGCATCGTCCTTAGGGGGTAGTGCGGTATTGCAATGCAGCCAAGCCAAGAGTCCACTGCCTTAGTACCTAGTAGGTAGCTGCCCTACTGAGTAGAAATTTATCAACAAGGTCTCAGTTGCTTGAACTATACCTCTCTCCTAGGAGGAGTACAAACGATTCTGTCATGGGGCTCCCCTGGCTGGTATGTATGTTCATGCACTCAGGAGCTGCAGGGTTTGGCGCTGCCCTGTGATCTCGTTGGAGGATGAATTCCATCTACAATAGGAGGACCTACTCACTGTCTCGGCTTTATATGTGACTCGATGTCCTTTTGCAAACCTCCCTCATGGGTTGCCTGCACCCTTACAGTCGCCTGGTGCTAGATTAGGGGGGTGTGCGGTGACAATTGAGGATCGCGGGAGGGTATCCTGCTTGACACTGCTCACTCTACTCCACAGCCATGAATAGCAACTGTGTCTGTCTCAGGTAGGTATTCAAAGATAAAGGAAGAATATGCGCAAAAGATATCTCCTTCCTGTACCACATTGTGAACAAGTACTTTACTTCAGCACCCCTGAATGGTTCTGCCGTTTGAGACTCTTCACTATGCAGCCACCAATGCCGTTCAACAAACAGCTGATACGCTAATAAGATGATTCGGATTTCTATAGGATACATGCATAACCCCCTGCTTAGATTATCTGTCTACCTCATTCAACACGCGCTCGCTTGGGTCCCACTGTTGTTTCTATAGTATTGATCTTTGGGGCAAGATATTGTGCATCAGAAGACACATCTAGCCATGAGGCTTCTATTGGCTCGACTTTCTTCAGAACAAACTCCTGCAAAGCTCCAGCTCCTGGGGCATCCATACGAATAGCTACGGATGAGACTCTTGGCACTCCAAGACAAGAACTCAAGCGTTCAGAGCATAGTTTAGATAAGCCTACCAGGCGAGTTTTCCTTTCGGAACTGGTCTTCCTAGATGCCGCCCCAATCATCTGTGGGAAATGGCAGTTGAATGGTGAGGCTTGATCGCCCCGCGCTACAAAGACCATGGAATATTGTCGGTTGGGTTCGTCTCCCATTGATTCAGTCTCTTGTTGCGAACACAACTGCAGATTTCGAGTGATAGAGTTAAGACCGACATCGATGCTAGCTTCTATCTCAGGCATTGGGGGCATGGGGGGTTGTTCTGAAGCCTGGGCTGTCTTCTTGGTCCCTTTCTCCTTTTGCGATGAACGCTTCCCCTTGGATCGCTTGATTTGTGTCTGACGATACTGCCCAATGGGGCTCAAGAGGCTGTGGGTGTTAGAAAGTCTTCGTCCTGTTTTATGACCTTCATGGAAAGATATGTGTAAGACTCGGCCAAGTTATAAGCTGACTTACTCGCACAGCAATTCGAGAATGATGTCTTGATCTTCTGTCAATATCGAGGGCCTATTCTTGTGAGACATGAACAGCCTGGAGACCTGAGAGATTATCATACCATGGGACAGTAGAGAAAGGAGTGTCAAGCTGATGCACAACCTTCTTACGGGGGCCTTGGGAAGCGGGAGCGGACATGATGACGCTCAGTGACGTGTAAGACGCTGGAAACAACAAGCGACTTCCGATCAAACCGCTAATCTTAAGCTACTAAGTGTAATTGAATGTTCAGCGAAGGGCGGCGCGGCCACAAGAATGACATGAGAGACCCGAAAAAGCCCTGCAGCTATTCACAATTAAATGGAAGGGCGATTATGTGGGGCAGAATTTTTGACGGGGAGTTGCTTCTTAGCGCCGGGTTATATGTCATAGGCCGCAGGAACAAACTCTGAAAAGGCCAGCTGAATGGCGATCAATCATTGCCATGATTTTGGCTAAAGCATGCTTTTGACAGCTGTGAGTAGTCTATTACTTAGCAGACTTGCAAAGAGTTGACGTTAGATTGCCTCATTGGAATCCATGACGTTGGTTAACACAGACGATACGGCTTGTACAACCAAGGCAGACAAACGCTGGGAAAGGCCCGAGAACCCCTGGGCAACATTCAGTTAAGTGGATGTATCGTGAAGTTAACTACAGCTTGTCTAGGTAAGGTACTTGGGCCGGTTCGTAGGTGCTGGTCATGGATTAAAGAAGAAATCATAAACACCCCTTATTCAAACTCCTTTGCAATGGGGGAAATAGAAGTGACTGCTGTGTGTGAGGCATGCAATTGACAGGAAACGTGCAGACGTCGAAAATGGGGCAGCCTAATAAGGCAGACAGCCGAACATGGTCACAGATCAAATCAAACATGGTTGGCATCATGAATTGTTGTCGGCAAACAACCGCACAGATTGGAGTTGATCTGGACCTGGAAGACAAGAGGTCTACCTCCGTATTGAGTCGCCTACCTACTTCTCCCGAATTATAATGCCCAAATCCTCAGTCAAAGTAATAAATGACGCAGATTTAGGTAAGTTGCTTCTACCGTCATTTATTCATGATTGAAAGTTGGATGGAGGGTTTGATGCCCCACCTAATAAGACGCGCTCGTTATCATGACAACTCTCGCGTGAATGACCTCGAGTACCTACCTACGCGTACAAAGTTTCACTTCCATTATTTTGACTTTTCGCTTCGCGTGTTAGCAGGGCCTGGCTGGCAATCACTGTAGCTACGTTTCTCTGATTGAGTTACTACTAGGTAATTAATATTTTACCCCTACATATATATATATATATATACTCCCATGCTACTGTGGCCTCGAGAATCAATCGGCAGTGCATGTACCTAAGGATAGTACTTATAGGTAAATGCCAAACCTAAGTAGTACCTTGACCTAACTACTAGGTACAGTACCGTCCGTGGAGCCAATCGAGAACATCTCCTTGATGTAATCGCACTATCCTCACACCTTTTTACCCCGCCCTCCGACAGCAGCTGACATCACGCCCAAGCTGTCTGGAAGTGAGCTCCCCACTAAAAGGATCTCAAGTTTGTGCGGAACAACTGTCAGTGCCAAAAACAACTGCAAGGCAACCGGGCACCAGGGTAATCTTGATCTACCTTGCCTACCTTACCTTTTGCCTACTAACCCAGCATACATCTTAGCTCGACGGCACCAGAGAGACCCTCCATTAGAAACCCCCGAAAGCTTCAAGGCTCCGGCGCGCACCATTTTCATCCCTTACCCAGTGGCTGTGAGGTTCTCTTATCGCCCTTCCTAGGTTCTTCGTACTCTTCACCTTACCTAGAAACCTCCATAACTTCCATTGTATACTTGCCCGCTCACATTGGCAAGATCAGAAGGCTGTCTTTTTTTCAACAATCTTCTCATTCCGCAAAGCAGCATCAGAATTTACCGTCTCATACTGGTTTCCTTGACAAGGCAAGTAAACACAACCCTACCTTATTCTTCTCTTTTTCAAACGAATGTTTCCCTTCCCATCTTGCTCTGGTCTACTATCTGCACCCCCAGTGCTCCTGTTATAGCGGGGTATCCACACTAGCAAACCGCGAGCGCGCACTGCCAATCCATGCTCCCCCGGCCTGAACTAAGGTGGCCTAGGTACTATCCTCAGATCCATCTCAAAAGGTCTTATCCATCCAATCCATCCACCTGTTTTCTTATCCGCATCACAATCCAGGTCCCAAGAGTAAACATTATATTCCTCTGGGCAACCATCTTTCATCCGTTCTTGAACGTCAGGATCTCTTATCCGCACACATTCGTCTGCGTTTCCCTTGCCCCCACACTTGTGCTTTGGCTCTGATCACCTCTTCGAAACCTCTATATCTTCGAGCTTGGGACTCTTGCTACTTTGCCCCGCTACATTTCACAGTTTCTATCAAACCCACATGTTAATTTTGTGCAGCTATCGCCGGGGCGTCTTTCGCGACGGTGTGACGTCTCTGCACCTCCACGCTTTGTCCCCGTTGGCCTCTTTCTACGATTCCGATGGATCCAGCCTCGAGATCTCCCGCTCTCCCAGATCGTGCTGCCTCCGCTGAAGCGAGCTCGACCCGGCCGAATCCCTTTGATGACAGCAACATATCATCTCGCAAGCGCCAACGAACCTCGCTCTCTGGGTCTCCCACCAATTCTCACAGCACACTGAATCCTGGCCACGACTCTTCTCGCTCCGCCACTCTTGATACTGAACCTGTCTTGCCTCGGCCTGGCTCGACAACTGCCTACTCTCAACCCGACTCAGTCGCGCCGAAGACTTCAGATACAGGATCTCCTGTTTGCGACCCTTTAACAGAGCCGCCATCGAGTATGGCTACTCTTAACCTGAGAAACGCGCCCGAGAACGACTCAACTTCCTCTCCACCTCCTCCACCGAACGTGGCCCAGTCAGTTGCGGCTGAGACCACGGACGATGCCTTGAAGGACCAAGTCAAAGAGAGCGTCGAGGATGCTGAAGTCGCCATGGTGCCGCCTCCCCAAAACCTCGGCACTCCACGTTCCAGCTTCTCGCATTCAGCAAGTCCTCCTATTGAAGTTATCACGGTGCAGTCGGATGATGATATGGCTTCTGATCGCCAGAGCATTGGGGTTTCAATTGTCGATGATGATTCTGTCATGATCGATCCCATCAATGAATTCCCTTTCAGGGAACCAACAGAGACACTGGAGGGAATGTTGGTGCGACTCTGCAATTATATCGAAACTCGTAAGACGCCTTCTGCTTTTCCTAGGGGGTCTACATGCTAACAGTGTAGAATCGTCGATCGACGCAGGAGCCATCTACAAACTCCAACAATGGCTTAGACGGTATCTCGATTACATCGCTACTGCCAATCAGCAATTGGTAGTCGATTCATGTCGTCTTAACCATGTTTTCTGGATGACCTTCCCACGCATTATTACCGCTATGGCTGCCCACAGGTAAGCCCGCCACGCATGCACCTATGTACCGAGACTAACGTTGCACAGGCCTCCGTTCCTAGCAGATGATTTGTTACGGCATCATACCGAGGCCGTCTTTTTAGACTTCGCCAGGTTGTCAGCATGGTTCGTCAATCAGGATATTCATACGATCAAAGAGTTCATAGCAGAACAGGGAGGCCGGGGACAGCAGACCGTCGAACTTTTCTGCCCATGCTATCTTCAGAACCTCCACTCAATCATCAACCCGCTATTGTTAAGCGATGATCAGTATCAGCATTTCGGGGCCTTGTCCATGGCCTTTCTCAAGGCATACCAGGACAGCCCAGGCGGGAGCCTAAGTCGCCTTCTCCAGCTGACAAAGGCATTATTCCAAGTTATCCCTACATATCCCCGGTTGACTAATGACCTAGCACCTATATGCTTAGTCGCGTCAGATATCATGGAGGGTTCCTGTAACTTTGTTACTCCCGAAATTGCTTTCAAAAGCAACCAGAAACTTCTGATAGGTCACACTTTGCTCGATCTGATACACGAAAGATTGGACATCATGATTGACAAAAGTCCGACGCATCTCGTCGCAGACAGTGTTCTTGTGATAGTTCAAGCTTTGTCAAATATGATCAACATAGCTCTCAAGGGTGATCACGCAGCTGCAATTCTCATGTTGGAACGGCACCGCACAGAGTTTCCAGCGGTGCCTCTCAGATACACTGCTGAAGCGATTTCCTATGAACACCGCTTTCAGTTCTTGATCAAACTAATCAAGTCAAGCCAAATGCAACTTCGATTTCAAGGCATGACACAAATGTGCAAAGAACTTATTGCCTTCTGGAAAAAGCATCTTGATAGCAAAGCCGATGATGGAAGCCATTATGTCGAACACATTGCGGAATACCTGATCCGGACCGGATTCATCGACTATCTACTAGGCGCCAACTGCCATCCTGAAATTATTGTTGAGGGTGCTAACATCATTGGCTTCATCATTGTGACGAGAAGGTACCGAAGGACGCATATCGATAGGTTTTGGGAGGGCATTACTTCCAGGCAAGACCCTCGAACCGCTGACGCTCTGGCTCGTATGGTCATTCAAGTCGCGCATCTTTTTGATGACGACGGGCTTTTGCTTCTCTGTGAGAAGTTCCAAACTCTTCCCATAGACGCATTTACGCCCGCCATCCGAATGCTCTGGGAGGGTGTCATGAAGAACATGGCAGAAAAATGTTCGGAAGACTGTCTTCTCGCTGTCCAACCGTACAATTTATGTCTGCGTCTATTGAGGGATTCGTCTGTTTGCGCATCCGGATCGCAAGTCATGTATCCTGACATCCAACAAGCAGTAATGCAGAAATTCATAGATCTCCTGAGGTGCGGCCCAGATGCTGAAGGGCAGCAACAGCTCTACCTTGGTTGTCTTCAAGATCTTGCAAATAAGTCTGCAACAACCCTGGGGAGCCTTTGGTGTTTATTCATCGCATTACGATCAAGGGAAATGAGCCGAGAGATGCGCGGGCTAGTAGAACACCATGGCTTGACAAGACTCGTAATTGAAGAGTTGGAACATGCTATTGGTGCTGGCCAGGCGGCAGGGATTCCTGCGGTTCTCTCGTGCTCTGTCAACCAACCTCGGAGAGAATTCATTGCCAACCTCATCCAGCTTGAGCCACCGTCAATCACCGAGGACCTTGGTGTCAAACTATGGGACATGTTGGTAGGGCCAACGTCCCTTTCACCGGACGATAGGCGGGTGGGCTGGGAAATCTTGAACAGTCTCCGTCGGAAGAACAAAAATGGTAATTCTTTCCTTCAAGCTTGTCTGACCTACCATCTTCCAGCCCTTTCGTCCGAATACTTCTGTGAGGGTATGCTTGAATTTCTCAGAATTGAGATCCTCCCACGCCTCAACGACAATTTCAACCTTGCTCTCGATGACCCAGAAGTAGCTGCTACTAGTGGTATTGAACAATTGTGGCGCCTCATTCTCGAGGCCGAAGATGAGACTCTGGTAGACAGGGCCATACGAACTCTCGCAGTTGATGTCTATATCGACAGTCGATTTTTCAACTCTATTTCAACTCAGAGAGCACAATCTGCCCATCTGAAGCTAGCTAGTCGATGCCTAGAGCAGCTGAAAAGTGCTGCACAGGAGCTGAGAAATACAAGCCAAAGCACGAACAGCGATGACCAAGTGGTGGTTACAACGATTACACAACGGCAGTTACAGCAGCAAGAAAGGATTTTCACCCGTTCGTTGAAGTTTCTCCGCTATATTCTTGAGGCCCACCAGTCGAAGCCATCGTTGTCCGCACCTGATCTACGAACACTGATCCCACAAGCCTCCCACGAGGTCCAAGGAGATCCTGCCGGTCTGAAGTATCAGTCCTTCGATGGCGACCAGCAGACTGACATCAAGCCACTTGTCATTGGGAGGGCGAACACGGCAGCCTCGCTCCTCGCTAGTTTGCGGCAAGAGACCGGGTTCGACAACTATCGGATATACTACCGAGGCCGACCATTCCTGCCGAGTGAGCAAGATATATGCAGGTCCTTAGAAGATTTATGCGTGCATGATGGCCTTATACTGGTCAGACGTGAAGAGGGTGGCCCCGCCCTCTCGAACAGGGTCAGGCCGGGCGCTTCACCACTAGAGATTGAGATTTCTGCACACTTCGACGAAATGTGGGAGTATTTAAGCATGGATGAAGCACTGGCACAAGAGGCAAGTACCCACACACATTGGCGATCGGAACTTCGGCTGACCTTTCCAGATTTACTACTTTCTCATCAAGCTGCCCACAGATGGCCACTTCATGAGGTTGATTAGCAGTGGAACAACGTCATCTAAAGATATCTTTCCCTCGGGGCAGCCGTTCAAATCTCTTTACGCTGTCCATGCGTTGATCGAATATGCTGAGACCCTCCTCCCTAGCCAACTGACCGGTCAACTCAATGATGTCGCCACTGGCTCTGGGTCCGATCCGGTAATCCTTCCTGAGGCTCTCAAGACACCAATATCCTTCATCGTACAGGCAATCTCGGATGAGGATATTTTCAATGGCGCTTCGGTATTCCTGCGGCTAAAGTTGGCGTCTACTTTGCTGCATGCCCTTCGGCAGTTTCTTGACAGTATGTTGACTCATCACGCACACGTTATTCGGCCTAACAAAGTTACAGGAGTCGGCAACCTCAGAGGTTCAGTACCGCCACAGGGGCTCCCTCTTCCTGACCCGAACAGGTTGGTGAAAATGTTGTCGTATGCCATAGACTGCCCGGGTGACGTCCCTTCTCCGGTTATAGCAGGAGCGCTTGTGATCTGTCTTCGGCTCAGCATGCTTGATGACAAGTTTTGGGTTGAACTCAAAACAAACCCTGACTTCAAGCATGGCCTGCATCGCCTTCTACTGATTGATTCCCGCCAGAGTATGAGATCACTTTCCGCGAAACTAATTGAAGAACTTTTTGCTGTTATGAATACTGCCACTCTCATTAGTGAGACTGACTGCGACACTTCAGTTAGATCCCGTGAGTACTCAATGGTGGAGTATTTCTGGAAGGTCACCAGCGCCATGGTCAGACAAACGACTGTATTTCCCAGCCAGTGCGAAGAACTCTTTCGATTGGTTCATTTTCTTGTCCTGAAGATTAACGCGCGGTTGCCTGAGTTGTTGGACATTGAGAAGTTTGCCTCTCAAATTAGCCAGCTTCTTCTTGACCATACTACAACCGAGGTAAGCTCAGTCACTTTCGTCAGAACGATATTGAGCAAGACAGCTGACCACATGATCATTAGACCATTGGGCCACCAAGTGTAAATGATTCGCTCGCGAGAGGTCTATCGTCACTGTTGCACATTTGTCTACAGCTAGATAACTCAGTCGCACAGTCCAAGACCCTTCCTAGGTATTATGCTGCATCTTTGAGTCCCGGAATATATGCTGACCTAGCTCAGTAACCTCGCAATGTCACTTGTTTGGAAGCACTTGTACCCTCCCAAAGACCTGCGAAGTGGGCAGCCTGTGCCCAAAGTGATCCTCAACGAAGAGACTCGAGCAAAACTTTCAGATGTGCTATTCACTCTTGTGAAACATGACCAGAAGAAGACGGTGGCGGTTGTGGAAGCTCTCGAGGAACAAGTTCCATTCTTCGACGATGAAGAGGGTACGTGTTATGTTCTAGTAAAAGTGCGAATGCTGACACCAGGTCCAGATGACCACTACATCTACGATCTCAATTACCATTTCGACCGGCACAGAGCTCTTCGGGCTCCCTGTGGGTATACTGGTCTGCTGAATTTGTCCAACACTTGCTATCTTAATTCCTTGATGACACAACTCTTCATGAACACTACGTTTAGGCGTTTCATCCTCGGCTGCCGCATCAACGATCCTGCAAACAGCCAGCAACTCCTGTCCTACACCCAGAAACTGTTCGGTCATATGCAGGAGAGCTACCGTCGCTTCGTTGATCCGTCAAACTTCGTCCATTCTATCAAAACATACGACGACGCTTTGATTGACATTCACAATCAGATGGACGTCGACGAGTTTTACAATCTACTACTTGATCGCTGGGAGACCCAGCTTTCTGGCCACGATGAAAAGCGGGTCATAAAATCATTCTATGGTGGTCAGCTTGTGCAGCAAGTCAAGTCAAAAGAGTGCGAACATATCTCGGAGCGACTCGAGCCATTTTCTGCAATTCAGTGTGATATCAAGGGCAAAGGGACATTAGCAGAAAGCCTCCAGGCATATGTGGATGGCGAGGTCATGGAAGGAGGTACGTAAAGTTCTGTAGTAAGAAAACAGGAGATGCTGACCGAATAACCAGATAACAAGTACAAATGCTCAACATGCGACCGCCATGTTGACGCGGTGAAAAGGTATTGGCCTCCCTCCCGGCGTGATTCCTCATGGTAGCTAATGTTTCATAGGGCCTGTCTCAAAGATGTTCCCGACAATGTCATATTCCATTTGAAAAGGTTTGATTTCAACCTGCGTACCTTGCAGAGAAGCAAGATCAATGATTACTTCTCCTTTCCGGATCAAATTGATATGCGGCCATATACCATTGAGCATCTCAGTAACCCAAAGAGCGATATCGAGGAGGACATCTTCGAACTAGTGGGTGTGCTCGTCCACGCAGGCACCGCTGAATCCGGACACTACTACTCATACATTCGCGAGCGTCCCACCTCAAGTAATCGGCCCTTGTGGGTGGAATTCAACGATGACTTAGTAACGCCATGGGACCCTGCGCAAATGGAATACTCCACATTTGGAGGTACGGATCAACGTCCCATATACGATAATAATGGCATTTTGTACGACAAGAACTTTAGCGCTTATATGCTGTTTTACCAGCGTTCTTCATCCTTGCGCGCGGAACAGGAAAAGATGTCGGTCCTTGCCATTCCAGCACCCCTTCGTGTTGACGTGCCAGACCACCTTGCGGATCATCTCTCGGACGAGAATACAAACATCCTCCGCCGCCATTGTATTTACGACCCGAGCAATGTCAAGCTTGTTCAAGTTCTGTTTCGTCAGTCACGACAGCACTGCAGATCCATTGGCAGAAGCGAAAAGAGTTCGAGTATCAACAGCTTCATGGCTATGCGTAGTCAAGAGCATGGACTTCAGGATCTTGCCATGCGAACGCTCATTGGTAACCTAGATCAGGTTGTCGCAAGGACTAAAGATGCTCCGGATTTTCTCTCATACGAAGAGACTATCGAAGACGCAGTCACATCATGCGAGCGGTGTGCCTTTTCCTTCTATGAGTACTTCAATCAGCATCCGAGCGCTTTTCGCATGCTTTTGCAGCGTAATCCAGATCAATTAGTACGGAGCAAGATCAAGAACCTTTTCAAGGTTGCAGTCTCGAAGATCTCGACAGCTTTGCCCAATGTTTACGATCCGGAGATTCGATACAAGTTGGTTCATGATGCCGACGGAGATGAGACGCTCTCTGAACCTGATGCTTCCCAACGCTCCGTTATTGACGGCGTAATGATGATATTCCAACACCTTTGGAAATTCTTTCATATTCACATTAGAGCCTGGGACGAGTACTTCGGAGCTGTTCTAGATTTTGCTGCCATGGGTCATCGGGAAACCGGATATGTCTTGGCCGCGAACTTCCTAGCGAGCGCTATCAGAATCATTTCTGCTGATCCGCTCCAGGAACTCAGTGGGAACTGGGCCAGAATGCTCCAAAGCGTCATTAGGCGGAACAATACTACAAAGCATACCTCGTATGTATCGATTATCAGACTAGTCAGCCACTTGATGAGTCAGATGAGGCCGCAAATAGGAACCGAATATGTCGAAGACCCGACAGAGCGTGTATCACAACTAGCTGAGGCCTTCAGCTGGACGTTCGAGGAGGTGGATCTTGTTTACAGCAGTCCAAACGGTTCCTATACCAGCCTTTTTGTTGAAAAACTCCTTACCCTCGATCAAGAACACGCAGGATGCAACAATATCATAAGAATCTTGACAAAGCTAGACAGCAGTATGGATGAAAAAGTACTCGGGACCTTGAAGCTATGCATTCGTGGTGAGACTTCGACCCAAGCCATGGATCCGTTTCTGCAGGCTTCTATCACGTACCTCGAAAGCACAGAACAGCTCAGCAACGCCAAAGACATGATTGAACACGTATCTATGCAAGCGAAAAGCCTTCAAAACACCGAGGGGGTGTATTTTGTTCAGCTCTTCAGAACAGCATTGGATCTCCGCCAACAAGACAGGGAATTTTGCAAGGAGGTCCAAACATTCAGCCGTGACCTCATCCCAAGATGGGTACCATTTCTCCTCGCAAGCCCCGAAGAACAAGTGCGCCGGAGCACACATGACTTTTTAGTTTGCGAATTGGGTAAGATTGATGCTGATGCTACCAGTGACCGCGATGTCACCGTGGATGATCAAGTCTCAATCAGACAGATGATGAAGCAAATCGGTGTTATTTGTCTCCAGTATCTCAGGGACCACCATGTGCGCAGACGTGCTCAAATCAGTCGGGAGATTGCAGACAAGTTCTTGAAGGTAATTGAGGGGTGTGCAGCTACGGTGACAACAACAGCGGATATACAACCCGAGCTAGATGTGGAACTCCTCTCATTGCAGGACGGTAGGTCATTTTCTCTACAATCTTATCCAGTATCGTTGACCAAAAGGCTCACCCGTTTCACAGATGTCTTGAATCCCTTCCGCAGGCTAATTGTCGACGAACTGGAGGAAGATGGGTCCGGTATGTTACAGTCGCTCAGCGACTCCAACACAATCATAACAGACTTGAGGTGATGGCTGACATTGGGCAAAGACTGGGAAGGATCCTGCGGGTCATCTGAACAACTTGATGACATTGTTGAGATGAACATTCCAGGAATGAACGAGATGAACGATCTGGAGCAGATGTCATGAGGTTGGGATAATTCCCAAGGAATTCAGACGATCCACTGCGGTTGCTCGAAACCAGAATATTACAACAGGCACGGGCACGGGCACGCCTACACGACCAAGGACAGAAAGGCGTTTAGTGGAAGCTGGGTAAATTCTCACTGATGGTTTGCTTCGCCTAGACCCTAGCTTAAAGAATGAGTGGGTAACGGATGGTTTATCAGGCTCAAAACATCAATGTATAGTCATGGTATCGAGGCAGAAGCGAGTGTTTCTGGAGCAAATTTGCATAGCAAGGAGTGATGGCGTCATGGAAAATAATATGAACAGGATGAGGGAATTATGACTGAAACAGGCAGAGAAAGAGACGAGCTCCCAGTCTGTTCCTCAAAGCCAGGACAGTATGAGGCTCGACAGCTGACAGATAGTCTGCCGGGTCAACGAATACACGACTGCATGATTCATGATAGCCAGGTAGATGATCCGATAAGCCGCGGGGCATCTCTTGGTGAACACGGTAACCTTGAAATGGATTCACAGCCAGATTAGAACAGAGTTGTGTCTGTTACCGCCAGATGAAGTGAGTTTGGCGCCATGTGGTTCTATGAATAGCGACTTGAGGATAGCCTCTGATTGACGGGAACCCTAAGCCGCGCGACAGGCGAAGGGGGAACATACTGGCTATTTCCATCCATTTCCGCATGCGAATTGGACTGGGAGGCCCTCGACCAAAGCACTGAAGGTCCAGGCCGTGAGGGTACCGGTACGACAGGCTGGCGGCTGGCTGAAAAGCTATCTTTAGCTACCGGACCAAAATGGTGGCCAGCCTTAGTACGCCAATGTTACGATGCCAATCCACAGATATGCGAAAATTCGCAAGTTTGGAAACATGTCTCTATAGATGAAACGGCGGGACTTTGATCTGGAGATGTGTTTCTGCTTGTCCTTGATTGGTTTGTTTTGATTCACAATAACTACCTATGGAAGAAGCCGATGTTTCAGCAAGATATTATTCATACATGTGCTTCAAGCCCCTCTTGGGCTGCTAGATTCACTGGAGGGTATCAAGGATCTGAGTGTTGGCATCTACTTAGGTACTAAGGTAGCTATCGACATGTTTTGACCCGGGAGACGGGAACTGTTGGTTCGTGGTCACACCCCGACTACCGAGATCAGGAGCAGCGATCTTGGGATGTCGAGGTTGGTCTAGGGAGGAAACGCAGGAACAGAACGGGGAGTGGTGTTGAGTCTGTTGACGGACAAGGATGAGAGAGACTGTTTTTAGAACAACCTAGTGAGAATACATACGGATACAGTCTAGTCAGGCCTAATCTATTTCCGCTAGGATGGACATCTGACCGTTGAGCTTTTCAGTTCTCGCTATAAACATGGTCAATATCGAATAAACTATTATAGTATATTAATTACCTTATTTAACACAAGTGATAGTCTATCTATCCCCTGGTCGATCAAAACCTGCGAGTTCATCGTCACAACTCACATGCATGCATACAGCCACTCACATGCCTTGCCAGGCCGCCAACGACCTTCTAAATTAAGTATAAGGCTAGAGGTGGCCAATCACAGTCTGTTCTGTCAACCCCGCCAGCAGCTCGAAATAGTAGCCGAGCTGCCACTAATGCACGTTAGCCGCCGAGATCCCTTGACTAAACCGCATTGGGCACTCACAGCGGCGGGGGCTGCATTTTCATGTAAACCTCAGTAAATCACCGCTTACTGATGATCTACTGCGAGTGACTGATGCTGCAACTCCCCTTATTTTCCATCTCACGACAACAGAGCTGAGCCCTTACTCATCTTGGCACGCCTTCGTTTCATCTTTCCTAGCCCCCATGTCCACCCACATCCACCGAGGAGGCCACCAGGGGGAGGGGAAAAGTGACTGACTGGGTGGTGAAACATAAACAAGCTGCCTTTCATTCTTTTTTTAGATAGAACATTTCCGGGGAAGAATAAGCTCGGACGCGGTCATCTCTTTTAATACTCTTTTCGTCCGCTTGTTTCTCTCTGCCCTTGAAACTTTTCTGACGCAGGATCACGACGACAACGACGGCGGGTTCACAATACTATCAAGTTTGAGAGGATACCACAGCTGCTGTGCGGCTTTTTGCTCGGTTTCAGTTACCTTGTTATATCTTCCTTCTGATCTTTCTTCGTTTCTCTCTTCTCAGTGTACCCCGTCGCTTGTTGGTTTTCCTCGTTCTTCGCCAGATCAGATCAGATCAGACCAGGTCAAGTCGTCCTCTTCACTGAAGCACGACTTCACAACTTCGAAATGTCGCTCAAGGACAGGATCTCGTCACCCCTCGAGGCTGGTACCTCAATCCTCGATGCTCATCACCTGCCTCCTCATCTGGCACCGGCTCTCGAGCATGTATCTTCGCGTCTGGCCCGCAAGTCGCAGCATATCACGCTTGTTGTAGCCCGTCGGGATTATCAACTCCCTTCTGTTGTACCCCCCAAGGGCCTCCTGACTCCGACGACTCCTTCACCACTGTCTCCTGGACTTCGGTTGAACCTCTCTCAAGGTCCTGTCTCCAGGCTCAAATCGCTGGTCAGGACTGGTTCTTCAACATCCCTGCGGTCGATCAATTCTCCGCGGAGTGCTTTGTCTTCACCCGGTCAGGTCCCCCCGCTTGAGGCGTCCAGCCCTCGGTTCAGATGGCCTCTTTCACCATCCACGCCAATGTCTCCTCCTCCCATGACACCTTGCACCGCATCATCGACGACCACCGATACCATGAGCTCAATGATGAGCGCTTCGTCAGGCTTCGGTATGCGACTTATCCACACCAACGAGCTCCACCCTAGGTCCGAAAAGATCCTCAACTCCATTTTGAGCAAGACGGAAAAGAAGTTCGCGATAGGGTAAGACAGACACCTTGACTCTCCATAGAACCTAGCTAACTCACCAAAGCACTGAGTGGCTATCACCTGCTGTCAGAGCTTCCTCGTGCGGGCTCACCAACCAGCTCATCCATAGCTCCATCATCCAGAACGAGGTCCTTTTCTGCTCCGAAGGCCTCACAGTCCTCACACTCGATAGATTGTACAGTCTCAAGAGTGCCTTGTCCAGCTATTCCAAAACAAAATCCCACCTCCGTCTCGAAGACGCCGTTGACGAGCTCCGACGTATCATCCTGGCAACCAATGGTGCAAAGGTTTCGAAAACCGCCATCCTCCGATCGTATGACTGGCTGAGTGTGTCTAATTGGGCACTTGTGGACCTCGATCGCATGTATAGGCGGGCATATGGAGGACCAGAGCAGTATGGTGGTATCTCAGGTCTTACTAGCTTTGCGGAGCCAGCCATAAAACCTATCAGCGACTCACAAGAGCGATACAAGGAAGAAGAGGCTGAGGAGGCTACAATAGGCCTGGCTGTCTCCGAAGGGAAGACGCCCTCGCCGAAGCCTCTGCTTAAACTCCAGACAAATTTCACTCCGGGGCCCATTCTGAAACCGAAGCCCAACAAGATTCAAGTCCCAGCTCCAGTTTCGGTTCCAGCTCAAGTTCAAGCACCAACCCAAGCACCAACTCAGACCGAAGGAGAAGAGGAGGAGGAAGACGGCGATCGCACGGCACGACCGACAGATCAACTGTATTTCACAATGCAACAATGGGAGCCACCTTCGACGATAGATCAAATCTTAACCGCCGGTCCCATCAATCGAAGCGCTTTCAGTCCTCTCACGCCAACACCCATCATGAGTCCAGCATCACCAAGATTTGGGCCGTTAACACCACATGACTATGACGATATTTCGCCCACCACGCGTGGAGAATGGGGTTTCATGATGGCAGATAATGCCTTTCAGAGTGGCCGGAAGGCCGGAGTTGAGATTTTTTGATATTGTATGCCTATTGTCTTGTCTTGTTTTGTTTTGTTTTGTTTTGTTTTGTTTTGTTTTGTCGGTTGCACGGCGAGCGTTTTGGCTTCGAGACACCCCTTTTGTTCGATTGCATCTATGCTTTGTTACTTGGCATATTAGATCTCAGCGTTATAGAGGGCGGCGTATGTTTGTGGAGTAAATATGCTGGACGAAAATGGGGGACCATAGATAGTACCACCATTCTTGAATATATTGAATGAATCTGGGTATCATTGTCATCACTACCATCCGTACTTGCTCCCTGCCTCCTTTCGGTTATTCTTCCCCTTGGCAAAACTGTCCTCAAGAGCTTCACGCTGGCTCTGTGCATTCTGTACCAACTGGCGCAAGCTGTGCTTTCCACCTCCTTGGATCGCACGCACAGGGTTGTGGGTCTGTTCCTCTCCCGCAGCCCGAATCTCTTCGTTGTGTCTATATTCCTTATCCATATTAAAGTTTATAACTTTCTTTGCCGCTTGGTTGCCCAGGCCATTGCGGCCAAAGAGCTCTCTTCGCTGAGCGGCAGTAAGGTTCAGGTCCTCAACTACTGTATCAAGGGACTCAGAGCCTGGCAAAGTTGTCGCGGATGGACCTGATTGCGCATGGCTGGCATAGTCGCCATATGCGCCTTCATCATAGGCCAGTGAGCTTTCTGCCGTCGCAAACATTGGTTCGTAAGTGCCTGAAGAACTCCTTTCCGCAGGTTCAGAGGGCTCTTCTGTGTGCAGAGAGAACAGCGACACCTTCTTGGGAACGGCTGGTGTGGCCTCTGGTGTTGTCTCAGCCGGTTTCAGCGGAGTCTGTTCATTTGTGGGAGTCGGCGCTGGTTTTGCCAGCCCTGAGTTCAGTTTCTTCTTCTTCTGGGGGTTCCTTGCCACAGACAGAGGCTTGAACATCAATGGCTTGCCCACCAATTTAACCTCGTCCGCTGGTTTTTGTCCTTCAGGTATATGTGGTTGCGCAGCAGCCGTCGGCGTCGGTAGGCTCATGCCGTCTGCATCGTCATTTGAATTGTCTAGGTCACCTCCTGCTTCTCTACTGAATCCTGGAGCTGCGCTAGTCTTGAACTGAAAGGTCGGTCTCGCTGTCGAACTGCTCGACGCCACGGGCTTGGGCTTGTTCGCGTTCTTGGGCGCTGGTAGAAACGAGTTGAAACCGGAGAATCTACTACCACCGGCAGTCTTGATCCTTTTTTCTGGAGGTTCTTCGGCTTTCGGTTTATCGCTGGCGAGCTGAGGGAGGCTGACAACGATTTTGCCAGGGTTGGATCTATCAACAACCTTTTGAAAAGGCTTCTTGGAAGATGCAGATGATTTAGGAACTGGTCTGACAGGGGCTTGAACTTCGGCTTCGGAGCCTGAGCCCTCCGAGTCAGAATAGTCGACAAGGCCCATGGCGGTCGATTAGTTTAGTAGTTGGCGTAATAGTGAAAGTACGAAAGAATCGCGAAGCTGAGTATCGTGACATCAAGTTGAAAGGTTCCACTTCTAACATGACGGTGCCGCAATGCAGCCACACCTCAACGAGGCTGTGCTCCACACTGGAGGGTAAGGTGAGTTCAGTTGAATGATAAGGTGCTAGTAGGCTACTAAACGTTACCTAGGTGGTGCTCCCAACCTAAGGTACATTACCCCACTGTTCAACTCGTGCTTGTCGCGACTATCTTGAGGTAGCAGTTACAGCGATAATGCAATCCCTGCTTTATTAGATTCTCGACTACTCACGTCTTGGGGTAGTGTTAAACATGTTGAAGCAGCTACTCGGCTCTCGGCAATTTCTTGACTTCACGGAGTGAGGCGATCACGCATAATTAGTCGCGACTATGTCCGTCATACAGCTTGAAGAGTACGATGATGTCTTCGGTAATGGCTTTGCACAGGTTCAGAAGCTGACGTCCCGTCCAGACTCGTCTCCTACCAGCTTCGCACTAGCTACCTCGATGAAATTGCAGACGGTGTCGGAGAGCGACTCCTAAACGTCAACGATGGCTTCATAAACTCGGCTCCTTTTAAAGCCGCTGGCTGGCGGCCGAATTCGTCCCACCACAAGCGGACACATTCACCTCCGATCCCTACTGCGATTGCCTCCGAGTACTTTCAAGCACCAAAGCAGGCTGGCCTCACACTCGAAGATGGGGAAGAAGATGGTGGTATGCTCACCGCGGGCGGTTCGGATACTATGGGTCCAGGAATGGCTACCAGGCGGCGCAGGCGTCGCGAGCAGATGGAGGAAGAGGACAGTAGTGACTTGAGCGATGAGAGTGATGACGATACGGACCAACGGGCTGCGCAACAGATCAAGTTTGCAAAAATGCCAGTCAGACACAGAGCGGGCTCATCACCACTACAGAACACGAACTTGAGGCAAGTCGGGGCTGTCTCACCAAGGGCACCTCGCCGAGGCTCACAGTCAGCTTTGATAACAGTGCAAGAGAGGCCTCGGAGAGACACAGTCACGAGCAGTGAGATATCATCAGAAAACGAGACCGATATTCCGACAGTCCAGAGGCATCGAGAAGCTGCTCGTGCTGCGGCAAGGGCTGCGAAGCTACAGGCTAGAATTCTAGAGGAGCCCTCGCCCGGTATTCAACGAGCGGACACATCTCTCTTGCCGGAGGAGGAGGAAGACTCCGATGAGGCTTCCGACTTATCTGATAACTACGCCGAGAGTATAGACTCGGCATCGATTCTTGATGGCGTCGAAAACGCCATCAATGCTTCTCCAACCCGCCAGGTTGTGGGAACACCGCCCAAGAACTTTGTACGCCAGTCTACTATTCGCAAATCCAAACCGGCGGCGCACCCCATTGTCCTTGGAGCATTACCGCCTCCCAGGCCGATGAGCATGATCAGACCTTTGAGCGTCGCCCAACCCAAGAGTTTGCTGTCAGCCGCCCTAAAAGCCAAGGATAAGAAATCGTCTATTCCCTTCCAGAAGTTCGCCCATTTCAGCGGGCAGGGTACGCAAGGCTCCATTGCTGTGCGTATATATGCACCTTTCTCAAAATCACCCGGCAAGCCATTCCAGGTGCTTATCCGCCCACGTGTTCATGACGGACAAGGTGCCGAGCGGGTGGTGACGGTTGCAGACCTCATCGGCTTGAGTTTATACCGATACAACGAGGAGAAACTCGAACCTCCGTTGCCCAAGGGTAAGCTCAATATTAACTGGTGGACTCTACGCATGGTGGAAGAAGGTGGCGAAGTTGACGACGATTTCCCGCCCTTCGAAAGAACGAAGCCGTTGACATCTTTTACTACGGTTAACAATGCTGCTGCGCGCGGTGGAGGCCGCATGCGATCTAATTCAACTGCTTACGACGACTTTGCGTTGGCAGAAGCTTCGGAGGAGGAGTACCTTGAAAATAAGTCACTCACCCCCCAGGAAGACGAAGAAGAAGAGCCAGCAACATCACAGGATAGCGGCGGCGGGGTCCCTCTCACTCCCACGGAGCCAGATGCGGACGCGACTCCTCGGGGCACTCCAGGGCCGGCTATCAAGCCGTTCCTGTCGGAACGTCCGCGGCAAAATCCTATCGTCACAACGACATATCGGTCGAACGCTCCTCCAGCAGACATACCTCAGGCACCTGCTGCAGCTCCCAATACGTCCCGCGGGCAGCAAAAGCTGCTTCGGATTCATATCATGTCATCAGAGGTCGCACCAGGGCAAATGGTGACACTAGATGTGATGACTGATACTTACTTGGCTGAGGTGCTGGACATGGTATGCCGAAAGAGACAGTTGGACAAGGCCAACCATGTTCTTAAGCTTCCTGGATCAGGAGCGGTAGTCATGTTGGACCGGCCAGTTTCGTCCATTGGGAACGTCTCAGACTTGGAATTGTACAGGCGGCGATTTGCAACAGATGGTCCGTTGACGATCACTGGCTCGCCGGGCAGCTCGTCCCCAAAGATGCTGCCATTGGCCGAACAGGCCATGCAGAAACGCAGCAAGAAGTCACAAACGCCAATGGTCGGTAGCCATCCATTGGCGCGAGAATCACTGAAGCAAGATGAGCTCAGCAACGCCAGCTACAAGAAGTACACTGTCTGGCGCAAGCAGCCCATGCGCATCGTTGGCATGAGCGAACGCATTCTCGTGATTGACGGCGAGTACATTCACATCATGCCAGCGTCTGGCGGTAAGGCATTGCATGACGGGTCAGGCAAGACGACGACGGTGCACTTTAGTAACGTGGTTGGGTGTAAAGTCCTCCGAAAACATCCCACGAATGTCAAGGTGAGATGTCTCTGTTCCTTTTATAATGGTTTACCATTCTAACAATGCCTCAAATAGCTTGTTGTGTATAAAGCAACCGAGAGTAAACGATATGACTTTGAGGCCCGTAGTGCACTGGAGGCGGCTGAGATAGTGGAAGAGCTAAAGAAGGGCATGCCTAAATGAGTGGGATCGCAAATCGGAATGCCTTTAGGGGTTAGCAAACCGTTGACACACTCTCCAGATTTCAGACTACCTAAGCACTCTAGGCACTGAAGACACGAAGACGATGGCGCAGGCAATCCACCGGAATTCCTCGTTGTTTCCACACCACTTGCACGGATATGTCACTTTGTAGAAAATGGACTTGGGCTTGCCTCTTTCGCTTGTCGGCAAACCCTCATTACCAATGGCAAACGAAACGACTTGATTCGTTTAACCCATGCCATTGAGCTATACTTTGATCAGTCCACGCGTGTGTTGATTGCATTGAATCTCGATGAGAAGCGGTGTCGGCTACGGCGTCTGAAGCGAGGCTGAAAAAGCTGCTTGAATTATTGACAGACCATGCTTGGTAAAGTCTTGGCTAACATTGGCCAAGACCGTCGAGCAAGGCAGTAGAAGGTCGAGATGGCGATCCAAGGTGCCAAGCCAGGGTTATGGCAACAGAATGTGTACATACCTAGGGGAGGAAAGAAAACACAAAACCTTAACCCTAAGCAATAGAAATATTTAGGTAAATTTAGCCTAAGTTTAGGGGGCTTTTTAATGAGTTTATTTTGGCACCCTAGATCAGGGTCCGGTGTTTTCTTGCTCCCCGAGGCATACATACATATATCATGGAGCACTGAAGATGCCCGAGGAGAGATGGAGTTGATGTGGAGACTTTGAGGGGGCGTGTGTGGCGTTGAGCCAAGCCGGCCTCTCAGATTGGATCAGGCCAGTAAAGAAGAGTGTTGAAGGTCCTGTCTCCGTACATGTTGCGTGCACCCAGTCTCCGAGCCTCATGACTACTGTGCATGTTGCTTGATCAAGAACCGATGCTGTCCAAATCAGCAAGCAAAACAGATCATTTCTGCAGTGATACACCACACACTGATTCAAACCCTGGTATCAATTGCTGATTGCTTGGTCTTTGTGTGACGTGACAGCAAAATCAGGCGCTGTAGGCTAGAAAACGGATGGCTCTTCTGGCTACCTGTCTAGGTGTCGCGTGCCGCGCGTTCAGGTACCTGACTACCTACCTGAGACAAACGAGCAAAGGCCCGTGGAAGTAAAGGGTGGTAGGTTTCCATCTACTCTACTTTGGTCGGTTTGGATGCGGATAGGGAATCAGGATTATCGGGCTAATCCTAAGTCGACTCGTTCTTCCTGATCGAAGCGTATGTTACTTATCGACCTTGTGTAGCTTGTATAGCTATCGTTGGTCAATTCTGTGATACTGTCAGCAACTAAAAGTAGAATTCAAGACAGCCAGGGGCTCCCTTGTCTGATTCTCCCCAGGTCGGGTATTTCCACTGTCGTATTAGGGCGACTGACAGTCAGTCGATCCTCTGCACTCCTTCAGACTCCTCCGGGCTTCTCGAGCAAACATCAGTGGTTAGCGGACCTCTCAATGAAGTCTCACTCCAAGTCCTCTTGAATTCCGCGGTTCAGCTAGGTACTAAGGTACTGAAGAAGAGGCTGGGACAACTCCTGAAGGCAAAGAAACCAGGAACGCAAGGTTTCTCTCCAGGAAATAGTTCGAGGTTTGATTGGATGGATGTCTTGGATATTGTTTCGGAGAAATAAGCTTCCTTTAATGCCATGCAGAGTTGGAGGGTGGCGTGTTGCATCGATATCAGCCCAGCATATCCGTACAGTAGAGCAGGATGCATTCGTATACAGTGCAGTCTTTTAGGTAATTCCATCCATGATGTCGATTGTGTTTGAATGCAGGGCCACAGTCCTTCTGATCGAGGATCAATATCACGGGAAGTTACATACTGTATAAGGTCCTAAAGTTCCAAGCTGGCTCACCAATGAAAAGGCCTTGTTAGTGACCCATGGCCCCATGCAGACTGCCGTAGGGGCTCGTGTTGGCCCTGGTTCAACTGTACATACATAATAAGAAGAGCAACCAGCAAACAAAGTGTGGAGCTTCCATCATAAAAGGTCCACCGTGACGCAACTAATCACCTATAATTACGCGATAGAGGTCCATCAGCATCAGCATTGGCATTGGAGAAGGCAAAGACAGTGGCAGGCTAGCAGAATCGACTGCAATATCATGAAGGGAAAAAAGAAAGAAAAAGAAAGAAGGGGGGGGAAGGGTCAAGGCGATGCAGGCGCTTTCATCTTTTTAGACAGGACACAGCAAGCAAGCAAACACCCTTTGAAAGTACAAGTTCCTCCCTGCTTCGTGGGCGTGGGCGTGGCTGTGGTAGAGCCGATGCTGTGGCGAGCGTGGCTGACGTATCCGCAACTCAATTCGGTCCCACTTCTGTTTTTGGTCTATAACGTCAGAACAAGTTTATCCTCAAACTTCACGGGAGTCGGCTTCATCAACTGGAGCTGGCTCTAGTTAACAGTTTTCTTGCTTTCGACTTGTTGCCCCCAATCACAAATCTTGGCTCAGTCTCGCCTTGGCCTTGGCGCCGCCCCCGGATGCATGTTGTTTGAAGCGTGCAGTCTGTAGCTGCACTAGGTGGCCAGGACCTCTAACGCTATGAACACGCCTGTTACAGCACATGCGCGAGATCGTGATGAAAGATGATGGAGGATTTGCAGTCACTACCTACTTAGTTACAGTACTCAACTAGTTACAGGCCAGGGCACACCTTGTAGCCAAGAAATGCCCGTCCGAGGCAGCTGTTGCCTCCCATTTCTTGGTTCTTCATTTCGACACCCATTACGGAGTAGCTTGCTGCTCGTTTTCCGGTTTTTCTGATACAACTCGGAGAACGGCACTGAAACCCTGGTCACGGAATATTATGCAGGTACTCGTGAGCTTGATTGTCAAAAGTTGGTCGTTTCGGTAAATCTTTTATGCATTGGCCTCAAGATTCGAATGGATCGGGTAGCTGACTGTCCAGGCCGCATTCATGGCCTAAATCCTGCGCTCCTTTCAACATCACTCCTTTAGTACCTATAGTAGATCAGTACCTAGGTCATTGTACCTAATACCTGGAACTCCAAAACATGCCGCGTGAGCTTGAGGCTCAGCTCTGCACAGGGTCGACCTCGGCTTGAGCACTTGCTGTATGTATTATTCCCGGCGGTCTCGTGTAGGGCAAGCTGAGACGTGGGATGCTGTATTTCATTCGCCTTGCATAACGTAAGGTAAGCCAGGGGGCAGCTGAGGCCACCACATCTGGAAGCTCTGAGTGCTGTATTCACAAAGCGTCCCAGAGGACAGCTCGGACTGGGAGAGATCTACACTACCTAGGTGCACAGTGTATGGCATATGGCACTGGTACAGAGGCAGCAGCATTACCTACCTACCTAGCTTGCAAGACTGGCATCAATCCGAAGCACGAATATTTGGGTACAGGTCCGTTTCTGGTCCAGTTGACTGCGCTGTTGGCTATATCGATCGATGACCTAACTACGAATAGACGTGCCTCCACCGTTCTCCAAGCATACGAATCGCCAAGACCCGAAGCTAGGGCGGACAGTCCGGGGTGAAGGGGGTGTGCGAATAGAAGTCATCGTCAAAGGCCCCAGTGCAGTGTAGTCAGCCAAGATGGACGGCATAGCATGGCATAGTTCGTGTCTGACTGTCTCGGTCTGTGTCCATAAAACGTCTTGACTTCCAGACTTTCTATTCTTTCTTTCTTCCCTTCCCTCTCATTCATCGCTGCAAACCAATTCAAGATCAGACTCTCACATCATCACCGAACAACAAGCACTTCTCAGTCCAATCTTCTCACCAACAACACCAACATCATGAAGTACTCCACTGTCACTCTTCTCGCTGCCCTGGCTGCCTACTCTCAGGTATGATACTCTGATTCCCCCAAGGTTCGCAGACTTGCCTTGCTAACATGATGCAGGCCCAGTCCATCTCCATCCCTGGCGGTGACGAGGTCTCCTCTATCATTGACGATGTTTCCTCCCGAATTGATGATGCCTCCTCTATCATTGAGGATGTCTCTACCCGTGTCGGTGACGAGGTCTCTTCTCGCATCAGCACCGCCACCGAGACTGGTGCTTCTACCACCGTGACTGATGCTTCCACCGTCACCGATTCTGCAGAGACCGAGAGCGAGACCGGATCCAGCTCTGTCGACACCAGTGCCCTTGGCAGCATAACCAGCGCTCTTGCCAGTGCCTCCAGCGTCATCGACGACAAGATTGCTTCTCTCAGCTCTGATCTCGCCACTGCTACTGGTACTGCCAGCGAGGCTCTTGAGTCCAAGATCAATGCTCTTGAGAGTAGTGCTGGTGCTATCGAGAGCAGTGCTGGTGCTGCCGCCAGCAGTGCCACTGGCGACAATGCTGGTGCCATGCCTACTGCTGCCGTCGCTATGGGTGCTCTCATGGGTGGTGCTGCTCTCTTTGCCAACATGTAAAGTGGCATGTACGGAAGACTACATTAATAATGAGATAAACGGTCCAATTTTCATGCGCCATCATTTTAACCAATATGGAGCTCTTGTATATCCAATTCTGATGAAGCAAGGGCATGACAAGGCTCGGGATCTTAATTAGCTAGCGTTGCACATCTGCCGTTAGTTAGTGTGATGAAAAGGGGAATATGGAATTGAGGGATGCCTGTGTTTGGTACAGCGTTTGTAACGGTGACTTTGTCAATAGCATTCCTCACATAAAATATCCTTGACCTTGAATATCAAAATGAAGATTTTTAGCATCATATGTTGACTCGAATGTTGAAGTTCTGTGTCTATGCTCTGATCAATTGCATGAACAGTGCAATGCTATTTAATGCCTGCTCTTCTCTGTAGTATGTTGCAGTCTCGGCTTTTCCCTTTGCCTTAATCGACTCTCAATAACACCCTCCATAAGTGACGTGAGATGTGTATGACGGTTTCACCCCAGTATTTATGGCTTTGTTAGCTGCTGTCGTGGCTAATTCTACTTGTAGTATGTAGGCTAAACTGAACGTCTGGTTATTGATATTGGACATCCCACTTCGACTTTCAGTCACTCTGACTTGAGGTTATTTTCGAAGTCAATGACTTGCAGTGTAACCATCACACATTGACGGCACAACTACAAACCCAGCTGGAAGAATTTCTGGGATGCAGAACTCGTTGTCGATATTGTTCTTCTGGGCTCAAATGGCGGTAATAAGGCGATGGCTATGTGCTATGTGCTGTGAGATCCGCATTCCAGTCATGATAATACAATTGTTTCTCATCCCTGGTGGCTGAGATAAAGGAAATCTCACTTCTCGCTGCTCCTCTATCTTGTCTGTACCAGGTGCTGGGTGTGATGGTCAGTCATACCAAGGACAGTGGCTGGGTAGCGGATTCAGAAGATGGAACCAAAAATTGGTTATCTGTGTTCCGAAGGAGACATGGCTATCCCATCCCATTGCATTAGTAGTTAAATGCACTGGGCACAATCCATATGTGATTGTTCATCTAATATAAGCTTACCAAGCCATGCAACTCTGACCCAGGAGAAGCGTCACAGTCAAATCTACTAGCTGTAGCATAACCATGTATTGTATGCTATATTCGGATTCTCGTCATGTCTTGGGTCGACTCTCTGTCCATAACTTATCGATAATCTGGAAGACAGCCGTCACGCCCTTCATGGTCTCTTTATCCACCTGTCCACCTAGTTTTTGTTGAATCTTATCTGGATGCCATCGCACACGCTCATCCCTGAGCTTAGCCACAAACGATTTTTCTCCTACCTCTTGTGGATTCAGTCCATTGACAAAGAACTTGCGCACATTTGGCTCATCCACGTCTTCTATACGACCGCCTTCGACCGGCCATGCAATTTCCGTAGGTGTGCCCTCCCAGTTTACCCAAGCTGTCGTGTAGTTTTCCCATCGTTGTTCCCAACGTCGACGTTCTCTGCGCTCCTCTCCACGGCGGATACTATATTCCATGTCCTCGTGGAGTTTCTGCGCGCCACGATCCTCGTTGGCTTTGCGCTTCTTCGCCTCTTCACGGCGAGCACGCTCCTCAAGCAGGCCAGCATTTGTCTTTTCCCACATTTTCTGACGTACATAGGAAGCGTATTCCTCGTCTGTCATTTGTTCTAGGTGACCTGTAGGCCCTACGCGCTCGTTGGGGTAGACGTGGACGGGTTGACCATATACACTTTCCCAGTACGCAGCGCCCTCGTCATCGGCCATGGCATCGAATAGAGATTCACGAAATGCTGCGTCTGGATCGAGAGGCTCTGGTTCATGAGGGTTATTTGGTGTGGGGGAGCGATGTCGCCGGCGGTGTCGGTGTCGGCGGTGACGGAGAGGTGAACGCCCGTGACTGTCGTCATCATCATAATCTCGATGCCTATGTCTGTCTCGCGATCTTCGACGAGATCTGTTGTGACCCTTCAGCCGGATGCGCGAGCGCCTCGGCGCTGTGGTATCCCCTTCATCATCTTTATCGTTGCGCTGGGCGTCGGTGTGCTCTGATGGCGCATCGAGCGACGGCTCTCTCTTGACGTCAACTGGTGATCTCGATTCGGGAGATCGACTCCTCCTTCGGCTTTTGGGCTTGTCAGGGTTGATAGAGGAAAGGATATGGCGTCTGCGAGGCGACTGCTCAGTTTCGCCCATCATGTGAGGGCCGTATAGTTCGAAAGCATTGAGTCAGTGACGCTCTTAGCTTTGAGAGTCTGAGAATTTGTAGTTGTAAGTTTAAGTTTCGATGTGGGGATTAGATGTTGCTGGTGCACAGACCTAACTTTATTAGTACTAATATCATTACCCAAGGTACATTATCCCTCAACTTGAATGATGGTGAACCCAACAAATAGTGTAAATATGCATCGAAACGCAAGTATAGGTTTCTACCAAGATTAAATGGGTATGAGGAGCTCCTGTGGTGCATGGTGTTTTAGTGATTTCAGGTATAGTTGTGTGTCAGAGAGGCAATTATATCAACTTTCATGACCATCAGACTGAGTTACACAAACAAAACTCAAGGTGTACATATGGTTACTCATTCCATCCGAACAAACGAGTCCTCCAGTTAGCGCCATCGCGATACCTAACTGACTACCACAGAGGTTTAATAATACTTAAAAGATACTATGACTTGAGATTGCACTTGAATACAATGTCGAGTTATCCAGTACAGGGTAAGCACACCTAGCGGCTAGCCTCCGCAGCCAGTCAAACTCCCTACTCACTATCACTCAGTACTGGGTTCTAGTATCTGCTCCAGTTTTGGTATGGTAAGATAAAAAACGACAATCACTGAAGGGTGCATACTACCTAGGTAGGTAGGTAGTTAGTCGTGGAATTACACCTTGATAGTCCAGCCACTATACGGAGTAGAACATTGACCATTAGTTAGGAGTGGAGGCAACTTGGAGGGATACATGGGCCGCCGACCACCACCGCCTATTATTCGCACTCACTTCACTTGAAGTCGAAAGTTTTACACACCAAGACCCCCATGCTAGATAACAACGTTGCCCTCCCGAGCGACGTGATACTGATCTCTTATCTCACATCATTAATCAGTTATAGTTGACGCTATTCCAAAAAGTATTCCTCCCCCTGAAATCATTGTCTCCACGGGTTGGCCCCTAGGGGGGATTTTAAGGGTCTAGATGCCCATCAGTGACCAATCGACAGCTAGCAAACCGTCGCAGGGCTGGTATTGATGGACCCAATCCATCCAATTCTAACAGTGAGGTGTCCAGGTGTCCAGGCCTCCTCAGATAAATTTGTTCGACACCTAATACCAACGCCAACCTCTTTCTTGTCCGCTCCGCCCTTGCGTCTTGTCTTGTCTTGTCTTGTCTGTCGTCGATATTGCGCTTCGATCCCTCGATAAGCGCATATTCAGACCGGTAAACTCGACGGGAATCAGTCAAGACCGCAACATGCGTGGGTAGTCTTTACACCGGCACCTCTTTTCCTTCTGTTCTGCCATCATTCCTTTGCGCATAACCACCCAAGCAAGAGTCCGTCAGTCAATTTGACATCGCATCAACCATGGGAGGGGTACTATTACTTCTAGGCCTATGCGTAAGTAAACCTCACCTACTCGTCAATAAATTACTGAGACTGACATTCAATCAAGCTAGTCATGGCGTTGGCGTATGTGCGATCCTGATCATAGACTCATGCCATTGTCGTCAATTGCTAACATAGCTACTTACCCAACAGCTCATTTCTTGCCGGAGCGCTGCCCCTTTCAATGTCGCTTTCGCAATCACAACTTCGATTACTCTCGAGCGTCGGTGTTGGAATATTGGTCGGGACCTCACTTATAGTCATTATCCCCGAAGGAATCGAGGCTGCAACCGCTCCCGCGGAGGCTGCTCATATGCATCGAGTTCGAAGCCTGGTGCGTCGAACCCCCTGGAGCCACGCCGTACTTCAACGTGGACTCCCTGAGTCAATTGTCACAATAAGCACCGGCTCAATCGAGAAACGAAATGACGAGTTGGACACCGAAGCGCTTGTCCGTCGCATTATAAATGCAGGAGCGGGGAATGGCCGAGTCAAGCGCGCAGACATTGAAGCCGCCGTTGAAGCGATAGGTGATGATGCTCCAGCCATCCCAGGAGCCGGCGATACCACAAAAGATAGCACTACCGACAACAAGGGATCAGAAAAGGCCGAGAGCGGAAAGGAAGACCAACAGAGCCATGACGGAGATCATGAAGCAGAGCACGACCATGACCATGAACAGGAGCATGAGAAAGAGGAAGCGCACGAGCACGAACATGCCGTCCCCACATTCGAAATAGGCTTCTCGTTGATTCTGGGGTTTCTGTTAATGTTCCTGATCGATCGACTTCCGCGCCATGCGACAGAGAGTCTTCACTCTACACCCCAGACCCGCCATATCAGTCTCGACAACCTCAACGGTGATTCCGCCTCCGTTGACGAAGAGGCGGATGGGTTCCTGGGATCCCTGACACCCACTCCGCGACGAGCGCGCAGCCTGGCAACGACCACTGGACTGGTTATCCACGCCGCCGCCGACGGAATTGCAATGGGTGCCTCGTCTACCACGTCAGATATGAAGCTTGGCTTCATTATCTTTGCGGCCATTATGATTCACAAGGCTCCTGCTGCCTTTGGCCTAACTTCACTTCTCCTCAAGCAGGGTCTATCGAAGCGAGCTGCACGAGGACACCTTATTGTATTCAGTTTGGCCGCACCTTTTGGTGCATTGACAACATGGACATTGATCACTCTGCTAGGCGGTGGTAAGGTTGAGAGTGATCATTGGTGGACCGGCATGCTGCTTCTCTTCTCTGGTGGCACGTTTCTGTAAGTCAAGTATGTCTTTCTCGACATTCGTCACTGACACCTCGATAGATATGTTGCTATGCATGCGATGCAAGAGGACACTACCCCTCATACTCATGACCACGGCATCAATGGCTATGCAGATAGTAGTGCCACAGCACAGCGGAAACCAAAGGGACCGCAAATGCGCGATACACTGGCCACCATGGGTGGTATGCTGGTACCACTCCTCACACAGTTTGGCCACCACCACTAAGTCGCAAGCACTTCATTTCTCTTGTATCCTCCTGCAGCGCATGTTGAGATTTTTGGACGGTATGTGGTGGAATATAACAGCCATAGACAGAGTATGGGATGACATGGCGCTTTTCAAGATTTCTTTACCTTTCGGGGCTGGCGAGCTCACTTTCGCCGCATGGGAAAGGACCAGAATAGGCCCCTGAGCGATTTTCACGGCGACAAAAGTCGGGGATGACGGGAATGAATTTATAGGGATAACATGGGACATGTACGGTTCCTTGGGTTGCAATAGCCGTACAAAGAGTATTCTTGAAATATGTTACCGGTGTTCTTGATTATGGCTGCACACCATCGCTATCACATCTCAAAGCCAAATTCTTTATACAGGACTGTATTCTCGTGTCACTTAATCGCTGCCAGCAACTCTGGATATATCAGAACGCATCTGGTTTCAATGTAACGCAGCCGCAGCCAAAAGGAGATATTCCATGCCAATGGTGGGTTTCCATCTGGTTCAACCTAGGTTTCAAAGAGGACGGTTAGAAGACCAACTGAGCTCTAGGCAGGGATACAAGGGCAAAGCTGCTTCATACTAAGTCACAGAAGCAACAAAATGGCCTGATTATTTTGTTTGAATGACACGTAGAGCATTGCAAAGTAAAATGGACAGGGAATGCTGAGGTAGTTTACTGTTAGTTGCCGTGGAGGGTAGGTTGATATAATTCTCCGCATTTGTCGATTGGACGATCTGATAATTTTGGTAATTTAATAAACATTGTCTTGATAGGACGTACGGTACGACGCGAGAGAATTCACAGAATTTGAAGAGTTTGACGGCGGTTTAATTAGGACGGACATCTTGATTAACAAGACGTTGAAACAATTTAATAGTGCTTACATTGGGGGAAAGCCAAGATTGGCGTTCGGTCAAGTCCGCTCACACTTTTCTTTACAGCCTCCACGAGAATAGCAAGGGGCTCAGTTCATTCAGCTTCAAGGCCAGGGTCTTGCAGTGCTTGTTAGTCTCGTTACAGCTTTTCCAAGGCATTGGGTATGCGTCGTTAGTGTGGTACTACTAAAAGCTAAATCTTCAGGGCGGATCAAGGAAGAAAAAAAGGTTGGTCGTTGACGCCATTGGCGCTTCTGGTGAATGTTCCGAGGTCTTCTTTTCTTCCATGTACCAAGGTAGGGATTCTCTCTGTAGTGACAACGTCAGAGTGTGAGATACTAGGTGCAGCATCGTGGCTTGCGTTAGGAGTTTGTTAGTTGGCGTTTGGTAAAGATTGATCCATGTGATATCTATTTCTTGCCAGTCCCTGCAATGAATCACAGAGCCAAGGATGTGTTATGATATGTGGTGCAGCAGACAAGATCAAGGTAACATGAACCCTCGTATTAATCCTCAGACTCCTTGCACGCACCTGATCGTCCAAGAAGCCTTGAAGAGGGGTTCGTCAACACACTCGACACGGCATCCAATCCCATCTTGTCGAGAGCCGCCTGAAATGTCACATCTCATCACATGGCTATACTCGATGGGGGAAGGGTAGCGATGTCTTGCAGGAGTTTGCAGTGCGGAGTCCCCCATCTTTGCTCTGAAGATATGTATGTATACCATGGTACACAGAGCACAATCGTAGCTGATCCTCACATGTCATTGAACAAGATAGGTACAGCTGCAGATACGTAGTCAAGCAGATCGACGTAATATCAGAGGCTGAGGGTCGGTGAAACCGTCATGATCAATGGTGCAAAAAGTCAACAGCCACGGGCTGCACCTGAGAATGGCGCACAGCTTCAACCACCTCTACTACGCAGGAACCAACAAGAGGTAATGTTATTCTATCCAATCCTTTCGTTGTGTACAATCTGATCTGATGAACGGTGCCGGAGATGATCAATTCGATCCAAGGTAGGATTGTATTCATCTATTCAGGGTTGACAGAGGCAGACTAACTAGGATCTGTTTCACTGCTTTGAAACAGAGCAGGTTTGGCATCTCATGTTTCGAAATCAATTTCTCAATGAATTGAGCAGAACCGTTTGCGGGTTTGATGAGAACAAGATTAAAGAATGTACTCTGTCAATGAAGCGAGATTTATTCCAATGGCGGGAATGTGATTGGAACGTCCCGTCCCTGCATTGAATCAATAATAATAAATGAGCTGAAGGAAGAAAAAGCAACGAAAAGAGCGGGCTTGACCTACCTTAGCCTTGAAGTGCTGGGTTGGTTCCTGCGCTTCTCTCCCAGTCTCCCTAACTACCTGAGTCGACCTGAATCCCTTATTACTTGCATCTCCTATTAGATGGATGCTGCTTGTACTGTAAAACCTGTCGATGACACCAGAAAAAAGGAAACGAAATTTGATCAAGTTCCGTTTTCGTTCACATAGACCGTCTTGGGCTTCGAAAAACTACCTAGTACTTCGTCTCTCTCACCCCTTATTCAGCCAACTTTCCCTTTCCTTTGTCTCTTGTCTCGCCTCCACTTCTGCATCTGTTGCATCTGGTCATCAGGTTGATTCACTCCCTCGACGCCTCAGAATCGAGTCGGTCATCTCGTCTTGCCTTACAAAGACGGACAAACCCATTATACATAGCATCCCCGTATCCTCGGTAAGACAATCTCACACCCTCATTGTGCGCGTTTGAACCTTTTCTCGACACAAACTTCCATACCCGGCCTTGCCAGCTCGACTCAGGAGATATCCTTATGCCGGTCACGGCGACAGCCGACATAATCATTGCAAAAAAAAAACGACACCCGAGCGGAAAGGCAAGGCAAGGGAATCGCTACAACAAGGCCCTGAACTGTACTGCAACGAATGCCGTTTAGCGCCTCTACGATCCCGCCATCGTCCTTGGCCTGCATCCGACCCACGCGCCAGGTCATCAGCCAGTCCCAGGCTCATTCTGCGAGCCAAGATTGCCATCCCAGAACAAACACAGGCGTTCCCGTCCCTGCCCTGGACGTGTTAGGTAGGTAGGTACTGTACTGTACCGGTACCGTACCGCCTGTCCGTCGGCTCTCTCCACTATCTCATCCTCTAGTGACTATCGCCATTCACCGTTGGTTTCTGCTTCCTGCACCCTTTCCCTTTTTTCAATATCTGCACCTAATTCTGTCCGAAGCCAACACAACTTTCTTATACCGAGTTTTTGCGCGATTATAAGCGATACGCTCTATTCTATATGTGCTGACATCCTCCTCGAATTGTTGGCAGAGGCCTCGTACGGCTTGCTTTCTGTTTCCCCACCCACGATCCATCGTCGGCCTCCCCTCGATATCAGCCGTTGTCACTCAAGGAAACCACCTCCATCAAGTTGTTAATCCTCCTCACAAACCGTTTCAAATTCTATATTTCGACACCCATCGAAATCTTGGAGGGCGACGACCCGGGTCATGGCAGGCTACCAACGACCCATGAGTTTTTCCGAAAGACGAGGAAGCGCCCTCAGTGACGACTTGACCCTCGGCACATCGACGAACCCCATGGTTAACCACCGCTTGGAAAAGCTGCCTCAGCAGCAACGGCACCTACGTGGACCTCCTACTCCCAGCATGTCTACACCCGCCGCGGACTTTGATCAACAACTCACTGGCTCACCTCCACCGCCTCCCACACCCGCTGCGTCCCCGGGACCTTCGCATTTCCAACCAGATTGGAGTGATGCGGCTGATGATGAGGACTTCTTTCTCGCCAAAGTCCGGCAACACTTTAAAAACTGTTCTGGTCCTCAGAGGACCCGAGTCCTCGCCGATCTGCTGAATCTCTGTACCAGCCAGCAATTGAGTTTCGTTCACCAATTTGTCAGCCCTTTATTGAAAAAGGACCCATTTACAAGTTTGCCAGACGAACTGTGTCTTCGGGTAAGGAACACTCTTGTCTCGTTGTTTTCCCTAGATCCAGTGGGCTTACTCACATGTGCAGATATTATCTTTCATCGATGACCCCAAAGTTTTAGCACGAGCCTCGCAAGTTTCCAAACGATGGCGAGATCTCCTTAGCGACGACATGACATGGAAGAATCTTTGTGTCAAACACGACTACGGCCGCCGACTATCAGAGGTCTACACCCACGCACCCAACTTCTCATCGAGACCATCAGTACAGGCTTTGCATGGACTCGATGCCGACATGACCGGCAGCAGCAGCTTCCCAGGCGCCCGCCCTTATTCATACACCTCAGGGACCCGATCGTTCGATGCCTCGAATACCTCTGGTCGACCCAGGTTACGGACTTACAAATCTCACTTCAAGCAGAGATATCTAGTTGAAGCTGCTTGGCGATCTGGCGGCACTAGCACAACGCGGAATATTACCCAAGAAGGGGGCGTCGTCACAAGCTTGCATCTGACGCCCAAGTACATCATTGTTGCACTTGATAATGCCAAGATTCATGTGTTCGATACGGAGGGAGACTCGCAACGCACCCTGCAGGGACATGTTATGGGTGTCTGGGCCATGGTTCCCTGGGATGATACTCTGGTCAGTGGAGGCTGCGATCGCGATGTGAGAGTATGGAACCTCAAGACTGGGTAAGTTGAGAGCCACCATCAGTCTCGATCCTTTGCTGACAGGATACAGTGCCTGTTTACACACCCTGCGAGGTCACACATCGACAGTCAGGTGCTTGAAAATGGCAGATGCAAACACGGCGATTTCTGGATCCCGGGATACCACCCTAAGAATCTGGGATATCCGAACAGGCCTTTGCAAAAATGTTCTTGTTGGTCATCAGTCCAGTGTTCGGTGTCTCGAGATCAAGGGAGACATTGTCGTATCCGGTAGCTATGATACTTTCGCTCGTGTCTGGAGCATTTCCGAGGGTCGTTGTCTTCAAACGCTACAGGGACATTTTAGTCAAATTTATGCCATTGCGTTTGATGGTAAACGAGTCGTGACGGGCAGTCTGGATACCAACGTGAGAATTTGGGATCCGACTTCTGGGTATGTGTCTCTTCAACTACAGATAACAGCTACTAACAGTTGGAAGTGAGTGCCTGGCTATTCT